GACTGTACCTGGTTTTGTGCTTTAGTTTCTCTCTATGAATCCTCATCCAACCAACATATTCAACGTATAAGACTCCAAACAGAAACCACTAAAGAAACAAAAGTCAGAGCAAAGTATGAACCATTTTCTCCTCCAAACATGATCAGTTATATCACTGATGTCATCTGGAAAAGAGGAATATTATTATTTTAGGAAGTTACCGTTGACTTGCTGATCGTTTTAAACAGAAACGTATACTTTAATTAGAAAAATGCAGCTTTTATCTCAAGTAAACTCCAATTTAGAACTTGTTTACCATCTTCTGATGATGTCTGGTATCGTTTTATTTTCAATAATTTCAAGTAAACATTACCTGTGTTATATTTATAGCTGACAATTCAAACAACGCTGGTCACTGAGCCTAAAAAACAACACTTCAGTCAAATAAAGCTGCATAATAGAGCTGTATTACCACCCAACACACCCTGGAGCTCTGAAAAACAGAGCAGACCTTCTGAATCTGTCTGAGTGATAAAACATCAGCATTTATTTGACTGTTAAAAACGTTTTTATGAGAAAATTATGTCACTTTGAACATCATCCTCTTTATGAAGAAGCAGTATTTAAGATTTTAAGATGTGCGTCCATAGAATTTAAAAAAACCCCAATTAAAGTAGAATCTCAGCTTTCGTTCTATTTTCAGCTCTTTATATTTATTTATGAAACTATTTCCTCCTGAGTCCTGGTGCTGATGGTTTCTGGTGGTTTCTGATGGTTTCTGATGGTTTCTGCAGGTTTCTGGTGACACTGAGATGAAAGATGGAAGTTTCATCGAAGCTTCTGCGTCCGGTGCCGAGAAACCGTCTGTAAATACGACAGGTAGGACTTTAAATACAAGTCTGACGTTTCTTTTACAAACTTAAACGTATTTTATAAATTCATCAGAAGCAGGAATGTCCTGAACTATTGAGCAAAGTCAGTATGAGGGCCAAAATGTACAAACACACAATATATACAGACTACATGCTCATTCACAGATCTTCTTCTTCTTCTTCCTCTTCCACAGTTTTACAAACTCTTTAGAAAAATCTAATCAGATTAAAGTCTTTTATTTTGTAGACGGATGTGACATACCTGCAGCAGCTGCTTCATTTGGAACACCTGTAAAGTCTTCCATATGTTCTGTTGTTTTAAGGTTTTACTTTTTGAGTATTTGGAGGAGAAACACAGATTGAGCAGGAATCTATACATTAAATCGTAGATTTTTTTCCTATAAAGTCCCTGATGTGAACCCGTTTGGCGAGGATGTCTAATGATGAGATGTAAGACTCGTTTTCCAACAGGTGAAAGCAAACCCAGTTCACCTGAAGCTCCCGTAGAGCGTAAAGGTTCTAACGAAGGGCAGGAACCACAAGCCGGTGGCGATGAAATCAAGGAGGAGGAACAGCTGCAGCTGGTTTGTCAGCAGCCGGAGAGCCAGACTGTCCTGATGCTGTCTTTCAGCGACGAGCCGAGTTTCTCCAAAGCTCCTTTCAGCGACGATCAGAACATGTCGGAGCTGCCGACGGTTAACGAGCAGAGCTTCTTACAGTCCACTTTTCAGGATGAGTCAAACGCGAAGGAAGCCAAAGTAACCCAGCAGGAAATCCCTGAGATGTTCACGTTCGATGAGGACGAAAAGGTCGACGGCTCGTCGTGTGGCGAGGAGGCGATCGAGCCATCGACGGACGAGGAGCTGAAGATGTGGAGGTACCCTCCAGGCAGAGTGTGCAGGGCTGGAGGTCAGGAGGAAGGAGAGCTGGAATCGTCCAGAGCTGGCTTTGAAAGTCACAGGGCTCCTCCTGCTGGCTCTCCTGAAGCGCAGGAAGGTGAGAAACCCAAACCAGGAGAGGACGGATCTGAGCCAGAGGGCTGTTTAGAAGACGAATCTGCTCTAGACAGAAACCCGGAGAACACAGAGTCCAGTGAAGGAGGTTATGACGGAATGCTTTCAGAAGACAGCGATGTCTTTACACTGAAACCAGAGCAGGAAGATGATGGGACATTTAGACACTCACAGCAGAGCCAGACGGTCAGCACTGGAGAAGACATGGATCTGGACTCGGACAGAGTGGAACAAGCTGAAGCACCTCCACAGACAAGGAGCGCAGACCTCCAAAGAAACACTGAAGATGCAGCACCAACTGTGACTGCAGCTCAGGCCGAGTCGTCTGACTGTAAAGACGGAGCTCAGAGCTCAGCAGAGGTCCAGGACGTGGTAGCAGGAGAACCTCGCAGGGCAGAGGGAGGAGAGAACTCCAAGAGAGTCACCTTCATCCTGGAGCCCGAACTGATCAATGACTCGTCTGAGATCAATACGTCCACAGAGTCCAGAGCAGGGTCGAGCGTGTCAGGTGAGGTCCAAACACCTGGGCTGTGTTCTGGAGAGGTGGAGCACCTGGGTGACGGAGCTGGGTGTAGGGCTGCACCATGTTGGAAATGAATGCAGTATTTCGGGGTTTTTATTTCTTTATTTTTGCGTGTTTCTCGCTTGTTTTGCGGTGCACATGTGGAGCCTGCGTTTCAACAAATGTTCTGCCTTTTACATAGAATAAAGAAGACTTTAGGGGAGTAAAGACTTGTCTCTAGCAGATGGGAAATGAGAGCTGTGTGAGTTTTATTTTTCTATTCAGCAGGAAACAAAAGTTGTTGGATGATGTGTTGAAGTTATTCACGTTTCCTCGGATGTGACTGTTGCTGAGTAATTAAACACCATGCAGCTGTAATTAGTTGAGACAGAGGTCACTGAGGGCTGGGTTTACACTGAGAGGACGAGCTAAACCTAGAACATCAGAGTGAGTTGGGATGAAGGTCTGAAAAAAACACAGTTGGTATCTTATGTATATCACAGGACTGTTGTTGGGTTTCTGTAATTCACCAGCTGACAGACTTCTGAAACTTTAGTCAATGTTGCTCATTTGATGTAACATCTCTTCGCCCAGATGCTGAACTGAGCTCCCACGATGACACCAACACCGGCGACATCATCGACCAGATGTTCGAGGAGGTGCTGGAGTACGCCGACATGATGGAGGAGAGACGGGACGCCGCCGAGGAGCGGGACAGCGGCATCAGCGCCTGCTCCGTGGACAAGGACAAGGTGGACACCGAGTCCGAGAAGGAGAAGAGCGAAGAAGAGGAAGGAGAAGCCAAGAAGGCCGAAAACACCGGAGACGAGCTGCTGACCTTCCCTACGAGTGGAATCCTGTCTCCTCTCAGCAAGTCTGTGGAGGCCGTGGTCACGCCTCTGGTAGGATTCATCCACGGTTACACGTGACGGGGAAAAACGTTTATTCACAACATGAAGCGATAGTTTATGAATCCATGTCTCCCACTAGCATGGTACAAAGATAAGAGTCTTCTGACAGATATTCCTCAGAAAAAACAACTACACAACATAAAGAAAAGAGATAAGATAGAGGTATGATACGATACTAGAATTAAATAAATGAGCTGGAATAAGGCTAGAATAGAACAGTACAAAGTGATTCTGCAAAGTATACCGAGGTAGTGAGTAATATCACACATGATAATGAAATGCTGCACCTGAAAATGAAATATTCCACCTGAAAAATGAGATAAAAATGAAATGCTACACCTTAAAAATGAGATAAAAATGAAATGCTACACCTTAAAAATGAGATAAAAATGAAATGCTACACCTTAAAAATGAGATTAAAATGAAATATTGCACCTAAAAATGTGATAAAATATTGCAGACCAAACTGAAATATTTCACCAGAGAATTGAAAATATGAAATACTGCACATGAAATTAAATGCTACACATGATGCAGAAACTGATGCCACACCAACTCTTAGAGGTAATATTTATTATGTTATTGATATCATTGTTTAGCTCTGTGTGTGTGTTTGTGTTTGACCGACAGCGACTGGCGGCGACTCAGGAGTCCAACCCTCCGTCTCTACTCCTGACTCCAGAGGAAACCAGCACCCCTCCTGCTGAAGCTGCTCCTCTGTACAGGTGATCACACAGCCTCGTGTAAATCCACTTTAACGTTTTGATGAGCCTGGTTCTCCAGAGTGAAGCGTCACACTGAGGTTAGGGTTCAGGAAGCGGCTGCAGCATCGAGGGATGTGATTGGCTGTTTGTGATCCAACAATAATAATAGTAATTAGCATTAAGAGCTTCTACGTACTGGTGTATTGACCTTTACAGACACATAGAAATGATGTTGGTAATGACCAATGTTGTTGATTTAGGGCATAAACCTCACACTGGGTGGAGGTCTAATGCATTGTTAAGTTCTCCTGATTTCACTATTGTTCTCAGTTCATGAGGGTTCACTGGGACACAAGTGGTGCTCAAAACAAACGCTGGTCATGTAAAGAAGCTGCATCCTGCCGACAGTAGCTATAAAGAGGTAGCAGCTGCTGAAGAGTTTGTTAAATGCATTCCTCAACATCTGTACATGACCATCATGTACAGCCATCCAAACAGTCACTGATCGTCCAGACTGGTTGAATGCAACGTTCACCTCGTGCTGCTGCAGCATCATTCAGCTTCAGTTTCTGTCCTGCTGTGATTCCGTCGACAGCATCGACGCCTACCGCACGCAGAGACGCAGTAAGCTGCCCACCATCCAGAGCGTCACTCCTGGAGTTCAGAGACGAGCTCCGGAGGCGTCCAGCTCCCAACCGTCCGTCAACACCAAGGAGAAGATCGCAGTGAGTAGCTCGGTCTGTCACGAAGATCAGATCAGACTCTAACATGAGAAAATGCAGCGCCTAGTCGGGAAGCAACAAGCACAGTAAACTACTGAAAGTTAAAATAAGCCAGCTGTGATATGATTAGAGGTCAGTAGTGTTAGAATGAAGGCTGAGTGTCGTTCTGTCCTGGTCCAGGCTCATAACGAGGAAGCAGCCAAACTGCAGACGGTGATCAACCAAACCCTGCAGGCTCTGAGCTGCTGCACCGACGAGGACCACGGACGAGGCTCTCTGGAGGAGGCTGAGGCTGAGAAACTGCTGCTGGTCTCCTGTAGGTACACCAAGAGGTTCACAGCCAAAGGTTTACTTAATAAAGTGCAAAGAGAGGTTTTTCTTATTATTTAGAGCAACTCCAAAATAAATCTTTCTACTGAAGCTCTTGAAGCGATAAAGTTGAGTCTTAAATAGCCCGACTGTAATGCATTTTATCATGGAGACTAATTAATAATTGCATTCAAAGCATCTTTGTTTACGTTTTCGGTGCTTTGTTGGTCTGATTCAGGTGAGAAGCGCTCTGCTCTGCTGGCTGAAGTGGCCAGACTGAGGGAGGAGAGGAGCTCCGAGTCTGGGGAGGCGTCGGGGGAGGACAAGGACTACGTTTCCCAGCAGCCCTGCAGAGGAACCGTCAGCATCACCAACATCCAGCTGCCTCTCAAGGTGGAGTTCGTCTGCTCCTCACACGGCCGTGCAGGTAGCGGGAGAACGTTTCTGTATTTATTTCTGGATTTACTTAAACAACATTTTACTTCAAAAGTCAAGGACTGGTGGCGACAAAGGTTGTTCACTTCCTTGTTTGAATGTTTGTTTTTGGAGTAAATTACTGGTGTGTGTTCACAGTTTTAGCCGTTAAACCTGTGATTCTTTGTGTTTATATTCCAGGCCGGCCGAGTCACTACTTCTTGGTGCTGATCCGCTACGGGCCCTGCAGCATCGTGGCCACGCCGCTGGCCACAGCAGCCGACGCCCAGAACGGAGACACCATCTCCTTCCCCACGTCTGTCACTCTGTAAGCTGCCCTTCATCACGTTGAGGTTCTAAAACAGGATTCTGCTTCCTGTTGTGTGACTGTATGAAGCTATAGTGTAAGGGGGAATATGTAGAATTCATTAATCGTTATTTTGCTTCCTCTCCTTGTTTTTATGTTAGGAAGGATATTCGTTCATCCTTTGAGATCGACGTGGAAGTCTACAGCCTGGTGAGACAAACTGTTCACGTTTACATATACAGTCATGAAGTAAAGTTTACATCCACTTGTAGAGTCCATGTATGACATGAAGTCTGGAGTTTCCAAAGACTCCTAATGCTGAATTTTCTATGAAGAAAAAAATCCTGCATTTTGGTTCTTTCATAGATTTATTAAAGGTCTTCTGGAGATATGACGAAACCTGCTGGGTCAAAAATAAACACACAGAAATACTAAAATCTGGTTAGACGTCCATGTTCTCCTCAGTTGGGTTCTTCTGGTTCTGTCCACCAGCTTCTGGTCCATCTCTGACTCCTCTGGACAGAACCGCTGCAATTCAACGAAACTCGTCGTCTTTCTGACTCAGACTTGTTCCTTCATCAGTCCACAGGTTCTGGATGGTTCCAGTCAGGACTTTGGGGAGACCAGTCTAGAACCTTCATTCCAGCCTGATGGAACCATTTCTTCACCACTTTGATGT